AAAGAAGAATTTGACAGTGAACTCCATTTGCAAGATGAAGAAGATTTGAACAATGAACTTAATTTGCAGATTAAAGAAGAATTTGACAGTGAACTCCATTTGCATAGTAAAGATAATTTAAGTGATAAGCTCAATCTGCAGATTAAAGAAGAATTTGACAGTGAACTCTATTTGCAAGATGAAGAAGATTTGAACAATGAACTTAATTTGCAGGATGATAAAGACTTGATTAATGAAATCGATTTAAAGGATGAAGATGATTTAAGCGATGAAATTAACTGGCAGAGTGAAGATGATTTAGACAATGAGCTAAGTTTTCAAGACAAAGAAGATTTTAATGCTGAATTCAATTTACAGGATGAAGAGGAATCCAGTATGGAACTTGATTATCAGGATGAAGATAATTTGAGAGATGAACTCAATTATCAAAAAGGTGATAATTTTGATGTTGAGCACAGTTTGCTAAGTGAAGACAATACAAGTGATATAGATAATTTAAGTAATGTAGAAGGTATGAGCGATGAAGATGACTCGAATGATGGAGAAATATTAGGTGGTAAAGAAAATTCGGATAGTGGAGATGTTAAAATGAATGACAATTTAAAATATGATTGTCTAATACCAAATAATGAAGACGAAACAAAATGTTTACTAAGCAAAGAGTGTTCTGTTATTATAAATAACAAAATTTCTAATGTTGCTATTACTGATCATGATCAATCATCCACTTTAACATTAGACAATGAAAAAGAATCAGAAGCTAATTCTATGATGGATGATGCTTATATTATGATTGATAATGATGGTATTGTTAATAACTTTGAAAATGAATATTATCGACCATCATCTGAATTATATGACCACGACACACAAACATCTTTTACGCCAAGTTATAAATATTCAGATGTTATAAGTAATGAAAGCTCTGACAATTCTGATGAGTCTGTATCAATTTATGATCAATCATCTGTTGAATCATTAGATGTTAGGGACAAAACAGATCATTCATCAGCTGATAATTCCTCTGATTTTACGACCGATGAAAGTTTTAATGATTCTGATTCTACTAGTGATAATAGTAATCAATCAACTGCATTACATGGTGTTATTAAAAAACCAAAATATACTCAAACCAATTTATTAGAAGACCATGAACAGTTTATGAATCGTGTTACTAAGTTAGCAAAATCATTAGGTATTGTAGATGGGAAAAACAATTTTACTCAAACCGATGTACCATTGGAATGTATGAATTGTTATAAAATAACTGAGGATTTCATTGACAGCTATAGCTCTCAAATTGATGAACATTCTGTTCCCATTAACTCTGATGTTCAAATAAATGAAAATGATGTTAATAATTTTACTCCTATTAGTTCAAGTGCTCAAATTATAAATAATACCATTATTCCCAAGGATGTTGAAGAATATGAACTTAAAGATAATAAAGACTGTGATAGTAATATTTCTAATAAGTCACATTATTTATCTCATTTTCATCCACATACTTATAACCCAGCAAGTCAAAATAATAACTTAATGCATAACCCTATCAATGAAAACAACTACAAAATAAACAGTTCTGAACATTATAAACCAAACGAGCATATTTTACATGGAAATACAATTAATGAAGCAATACCATTTATAAACAAAAATAATGAAATTTATAAAGAACTTATGAAAATTGTGGATAAAAGTGTTCCTGAAAGAAAATGTAAAATAATGCCATATACCAGAATAACAAAGAATTTAAAAAAAAATTTAAAGAGACAAGTTGCTGATGATAAAGAAAATCGTAATCATTTGATATCAAGAGGGTTTAAAAAATTTAAGATGGAATTTATTGAAAGAGATTTTTCATGCTCTGATGAATCTGACAATAATGATAATGTCAATGATTAAAATTATTCATTTTTAGATATTTTATTAAGACTTCCTTAAGGTCTCATTATATTATATTTATTTGTTCCTGATTTTAAAAATAATTTTTAATCTTCCAACTGAAAACAATATATGTTGCCTAGTAACTAGTTTTATTTTTGTCAATAATTATTTTATTAATATAATTTTTTACTTTCTTTTTTTATAAATTCGTATTATTTATTGTATGAATTAAAAAAAAATGACAACTAAAAGTGATAATTCAAACTATGAAAATTAATTATGCAGTTCTCCTTTGTCATCGCAAGATGATACTTTGAACAATGATAATCCAATGAATTTAAATAACGTAATTCATTGGATTAACTCTTGAATTTACTTGACCAAAAAAAAAAACCTTAATCAGAAATTTTTCTGATGTAAGCAAGACATAATTATTACTTATATTGTTTGCTATTCAATTGATAACCAGTAAATTTTAATAGCTCTGGTTGCTGAAATAATAAAATATTATTGGTCAAAATTAATAGACCTTCACAAAATGTACCAGCTAGCTCATTGACAAATAAGATTTCAAATTGGGATATTTGAAATAAAAAACTAAATTTAAAAAGCTACAAATAACCAATTTTTTTTTTTATAATAAAATGTGTTAAAGGTGTTAAAAAAAGTGAAGTTATTGCTTTTAAAGGAAACCATAAAAACGTTATCAATAACTGACCCAAATACTATATTTCAGTTTTTAAAATCTTTAAACTAATGGTTGATGAACTTGAAAAACAATTAAAATTAGAAAAAAATCAAAATTGTCCATTTTATATCATAATTTATTAATAATGAAATGATTCAAGTTACAAGTTTAGTATACATAGTTATTCATACACTATTTAGCTAAAGCAACATATTAATTATAGATCTTATTAGTGAAACTTTGTGTTAATATTCCTCAAAAACTGATTGTTTCAGTAAAATATATTTTGGAAAAGAAGTTGTAGACGTTGTAGCATTAATAAATAAACAGGAACATAAAATTAATGACATGAAATACAAGATTAGATAAATTAAGGAATTTGTGATGCATTTAAAAAATAAAATCACAAGTTACTTGGCTATGGATTACAATTATAATAAAAATTAAGAATTAAATATTTATTTAGATTGACTACAAGAGTTCATTGATAAGTGAAAGATAGGCAGATAAAAAATTTACAATCACATTTAAATCAGCTGAAAAAAGATAACACTTCCTTGACATGTTTCAAATGAATTATAATGCTGAGTTTTCCAAGACTGTTTTAGCTTATTTAATTTTTTTTCTACAATCATAATTATTTTACGATACCTAACACTAATGACTGATTTTTAAATATAATTTTAATTAAGTATTATATCAACTTTTTCTAGTTAGTAGTACGATTATTTTTCATGTAAATGATTACAAACGTAGGTATTAAAAAATGATACACGTCGTTGGAGAACAATTTATCCAAATTTATCACAGCTCAAAATTGGTTCTTAGAAAGTCTAGAACTCAATTCTTTAAACTACCTATTATGGAGTATTTTAGAGGAGAAAGACTGTAGAAATATCGAATTATCAAAAGCTGATTTAGTAAAATCAGCTACTTCAAGGTACTGTTAAAAAAATGATGGTGTGTAATGGTAGACAAGTTGTCAGATCGTTAAAAGTGTGTAAATGTAATTAGTGTACATTTTGAATAGTAATAATTTTTTTTAGTTACTAAATTAATTAATAAAATCAAATAACATCAGTATTTTTATATTTGCTTTGTTTGATTTATCAAATATATAAGGGACAGAACTTATGGCAGAAATAGGTAATCTACATGAATTGAAATACATGGCTAGCAAGTAATAATCAAATATTTTTTTAATTATAAATTTATTTTTAATCAAATATTATTTATGGACATTAATCAATACACAAAATTTATTTTGTCATAGAGGTAATTTATCATATTATTTTACAGATACCTATATTTTAAGAATAGTATTGACTGATGCCATTTTAAAGGAATTGCCTTTTAAGGACTCTACTGTTATCATAAAAAATTAATTTGATCTTTTCTGACAGTTACATAAACTGTTAGGTATATTATTATTAGGGAACAGATTTTATTATAAATGCATATTTTTATTGGAATCAGATATTTTCAAACCAATAAGAAATGTATACAATTTAAATCATTCCAATTGAAATAAACCCAAATTTATTTTACATATTTGATAAATATGAGTACCTTCATGTTTTAGTTATAGTATTATTGTACAATACTATACATTTATTATGGCCAAATAGTGTTAAGTAGGAAAATGTATTTTTATTTTTAGCTGGTGCTGTTCTTATATGATTAAAGCCGGTAGTGTTTTGACAGTATATTTTCTTAAACTGATTCATTGTCATGTTTAGCAGATGGCTTTTAATGCTCTTATCATATTTTAGAAGTAATAAGACATAATTATTCCATAATTAATCAATTAATAGTGACCATTAAAGAAATATTCTTGAAATCTTCAAGTTATGTTTTAAAATTTAAAGAAATGTATCCAGATCTTATTTTACCTCTTGAATTTATAGTAACATGATGGAGTTTATGGCTTGAAGGTTATTCAATACTATTTCATTTTGATAAAATAAAAATGTTACTTCTAATTTCGATACTGAATTAATTGACTGCAGCTATTAAAAAAGCCAATTTGATTTTTTTTATTCAGATAATTAAGCAATTAGAAACTAAAATCATGTCTTTAATAGAAAATATTAATCTTGTATAGAACTCTACAAATAAATACAAAAAAAATTTAGGTATATGGGAGAAGTAGTCAAAAAGAAATTATTCAATACAATTGAAACAAATACTGGATATCTAACATCAGAAATATTTTAATAGGAAAAAATCTTCGGACATTGAATTCACTACATTTGATATAATAAATATAAATTACATCCCTTCCCTTATCAGATCTATTAATCTGGACTCTTCTCTTGATCAATACAAGAGTATTTTCCGATCAAACTGTCACAATTTTTATTTGCAAAGCTCTTAACAATGTATTGTTTCTAATTGCATTGTTTCAGAATAATTACTCATAATTTTATATACCTACATCGTCTGTACTGATTTCATTTGGTAATTATATTTAAAAAACTGTATTTTTTTTTTTGTAATTTTCAATACTAATACATGATTTGATATTTACATATTTTGGATCTTTATTTTATATTTTAAGAAAAATTGGTACATATATATGTATATATAATGATATTTTTATTACAATAAAATCCGTTCCCTATAATACATTGTCATAATGATTAGTTTAACATAACCTAATAAGCAGTCTTAATAACAGGTCTGCTAAAACAGATAAAATAAAACTATTAATAATATATTATTAGAATTATTTAATAATTAGTATAAAAGTAGATCACGTGTATCAGTGTATTTAATCTATGGTACAACAGTCTAAAATCTAATGACTAATAAATAGAAAGAATGGAATTTAAAATGGAACATAAATACCGTACATATTATACAAAAAAAATTCAATACACAAACACAAGAGTCTACATTTAAAAAAAAAAATGATCTATTTTGACTGAAATTTGATTGAAACATGGTATGTAATTATTTGTTTTCATAATTTTATTAATAAAAACTAATATGGTTGTTGTTTTCTTTTTTGTGATGGCAATGTTAAAATTTAAATATACAAATTATTTTTTATTTTTTACAAAATTCAACTATTTTTTCAGTAAAATGTTTTATGTGACTGAGTTTGCTGGTACTCCCAATACCATACACCACCAACAATTAAAGCAGCAATTAAAATAATAACAAACAAGACGATAAAAAATATTTTTAAGCCAGACCAACTTTGACTCTTTGTGTCTTCGATATGTTCTAGAAAAGAAAAACATTTTACATTTAACATACATCATTCATGTTTTTAATAAAATTACCTCTTGGTGGACTGAATTTTTTAGCATTTGGAATTATATTTGAACGATCCTTAAGAGCTTCATTCTAAAAAACAAATACATGATAAAATGATCAGTATATAAAAAAAATAATAAAAAGTAGCATACTCTTATATTAGTAGAATTTTAAATTTTAATAATTAATAATTATCAAACGTTTGTCAATTAAAATTCAAAATACTATCTAATAGTGTTGTAATTTATTTGCATGATATAATTTTGATGCAATTATTTAATATGGCTAGTATAACAAACAGGCATTAGGAATATTAAGTTTAAATATTTTTAAAAAAACTTAATTATATTCAACAAAATAAATAATAGTATAGTTACAGGGTCATCAGAATCCACTTCATATAGTCGAACAGCTAAAATTTCATGATTATCTGATAAATCTCCTGTTGCTGCCGAAAATCCAAAATAGTAACCAGTTGGCAATTCAACGCCTTCAACAGTAAAACAAGGTTTCCATACTGCTTTATCTTCTAAATCTGTCATTACTAAAATGTTTTGTTAAATTAGTAAAAATAATTAATCATATCATAAAAAGTAATTAAAAATATTAATAAAATTTACCAGTTAGTGTATTGCCAGTATATCTTATTAAAATATGAGTTTCAGTTAGTAAATTTCTAACTTTAACTTCACATCCTGCCAATTCTGTATGAGTTCCATCGCGGTCATGATCATAATGTAAAGATCCATTGTTAATCATTGATGAAATATAAGGATGTTGGTGCTATTATGTTAAAAAAATAAATATATACATTAAATAATGTGAAAAAATTTATAGTAATTATCAGTTATACATTATGTTCTCCGTTGTGATTACTATATGTATCAATTATAACAGCAAGTCCTTCAAATAAATCTTTATTGCCAAAAACTGGCCCATGTTTCATTCTTTCTCGGGTGTACCAAATAGCCATTCCATCACCGTGAAGACTTTCTTTTCCTTTTCCATGAATTTTAAATTGTACTTGCAATTCCCAATTATTGACATAACAAGGCTAAAGTAAAAACAACCAACAAAACATGAAAGCAATCTACAACCACCAGTAAATTTATTTGATGTTTAATAAGACTATCTGACTGATTAATTGACCACAAAATTTATTTATAAATATTATAAAATACAAATACATACTACAGAGTTCCATATTGAACCAGACTTGCTTTGTAAGTCGGGTGTTAATCGCACATATTTGTCTGTCACTATAGTGGAACCCATAAAATCCCAATTTGGTACTGTTATGCCAGATCCTGTCAGAATAATTATCTATTAGATGATAAACCGTATATTTCCTTAAAATTAGTCTTACCTTGGTATGGTTTCAATAGTGAATGATCACGTTTCATATAATCTCTAGTGTTCCATTCAGAGTAAACTTCTCTACAAAGAAATGAAAAAATTACTATAAACACGTAAAATTTTGTACCAACTTTTTTCGAATTAATTATATTATTTGAGTTGGAATTCTTCATGATGCGACAATAGGTGTAAAAACTGGAAATGGAATGTTTTTAGAGTAAACACCAGAATAAATTAATGTTCTTCAGTTCGTATTTAATTGAGTTATAATCAAAGACCGTGATTTAAAAAAAATAAAAACACTTATCAATCAATTAAAAGTCAAGATTTGTTAATACTGAAGTACCTACAACTAATACTGCCTATATGGTACCTAACACTAAAGCAGTAAAGCCAAGAAAATAAAAAATACAAAGTTCGAATTCCAAAATTTACAATAGGCATAGATAAATAAGAATGTAAATCTATGACAAATCACAAATGGTGTATCAAAAAACAAAAAGATACTATACCAGCGTTATAAGATACCTCAATAAGAGTTTAAAATATGACTTATGATAAAAAAAAAAATTTTGTAACCTCTTTGAAAATTACTGATAATGAATGATTAGTGAAATTAAAAGTATTAAAACTTAAAACATTAAATTTGAGACTTGAGTGACGATTCTATCTATACAATTTTAAAATAATTTTGAAATTTTTAGATGTTAGCCACCGTAAATTTTGAATTGTAGTAAAAAATAAAGAAAATTATGTTTGTTCATTTAGCTGGTGTCAATGAAGCATTAAAGCTGAAGAACAATAACGACAACCATGGATATTAAATGGCTAAAAAGATACCGTTTGTTTTGCATTGGAGGTTCAATCATCTTATGTGTTCAAATTGTACTAGCGTTTGTATTCTTTTCCATTCAAGAATATTCAATTGTCGAAGAACTATCCCCGAATGTAATCAGTCTTAGAATAATGTCATTTGTACATTTTTTTAAATTATAAAAAATAATAAGAGTAACTTTTATTTTAGTCATTAAGCAGATTAAAGAATGTAGCTGATTATGGTATTGGTGATGACGAAGAATCAAGTTATAACAATGTTCCGAGTGGTAGTAATCATCGTAATAAACTGCCACCAGACAAGGACAATAGTGCATCGTCAAATGAATACTTTAATAAAGCACTTCAACAAAGGCACAACAACTATAAGACTGATAATTTTAGAGTATTAGGAGTAGATGAATTAGGTTTTGCTCCACCTTGTGATATAAGTGGCCGTGAGTGTATATCAGCATTACATCGTGCAAAAACTGTTACTTGTAAACAGATTATAGCAAACATATCGTGTCTAATTAAGACAAATCCTCCCTATCCCAAACGATTGCCACATCAATGTCCAACTAATGGTATTAAATCTTATATTGTGCATTCATATTTTGTTTTCTATTAATATTATTTAATTTATTATTAGATGTAAAAGAGAATAAAATAGTTGGATGTTTTCGTGATGGCAAAGAAATTAAATTATTGCCTGGTTATAAAACTACTCTTATATATACTAATTCTCAAGAAAATTGTGTGGATCTTTGTCTTCAATCTGGTTTTGCTTATGCTGGAGTGGAATATGGGTAATTAATAATGAATATATTTTTTAAAAATGTTAAATATTCTAACATTTTAAGTAAAATATGTTTATAATTAATATTTGCAGAACCGAATGTTTTTGTGGTAATGAAACTCCAGAATTGGGTTTAAAACTTCCAGACACATTTTGTGATATGCAATGTCCAGGAAACCTAAATCAAATGTGTGGTGGACATTATACTATCAATGTTTTTAAAACTGGTGTTTCTAGTGTGTTCATTATTTATATTATATTGATTAATTTTTCACAATTATTTAATAAGATTTTTTTTTTTTTAGAATTCATTGCTAAAATTGCTTCAGAACCTTTACCAAATTTTAAACACAAAAATATACCTCCTGTGCGAATTGTATTTCTTTTGACATTGAATGGGAGAGCTGTAAGACAAGTGTATAGATTAATTAAAGCACTATTTCATCGTGATCATTATTTTTTTATACATGTAGATGCTGTAAGACTATTAATATCTCAAATTGCATCATGTAAATATTAACCATTATTTATTTATTTATTTTTTACATGTAGAGACATGATTACATGTTTAGAGAATTATCAAAAATTGAATTAACATTGAGCAATGTTCGATTATCACGGCGAAGGCATTCCACCATCTGGGGAGGTGCATCTTTATTAACCACCCTGATGGATGCTATGTCAGACCTTGTACAGTCTTCTTGGGACTGGGATTTTGTTATTAACCTTAGTGAATCTGATTTTCCAATAAAGTAAGTATACATTTTATGAAACAATTTGTATTTTTGATTTTTTGAAATTAACCAATATTTTGTTTAAAATCTACATTTTAACAAATAGTTTATTAATAAACATTTTATATTAATGATACAAGGTCAAATGATGCATTGGTAAAGTTTTTAACTGCAAATCGTGAACATAATTTTGTGAAATCACATGGTCGTGAAGTTCAACAATTTATACAAAAACAAGGACTAGACAAGACATTTGTAGAGTGTGAAGCTAGAATGTGGCGTGTAGGAGAAAAAGAATTGCCAAAAGGTATTATTTGGGATGGTGGTAGTGATTGGCTAGCATTATCTCGACCTTTTGTCGATTATCTAGTGACTGGTGATACTCTTATTTCTGGTTTATCAAAATTCTTCAAGTATACATTATTACCAGCTGAGGTACTTAAAACAATGTTTAATCTAAGTAAATTAAAAATAAATATTAAGTATTGAAAATTTTATGTACTTGATTATAGTCGTTTTTCCACACTGTATTAAGGAATTCGCCTTTTTGTGAAACTTACATTGATAATAATTTACATGTAACTAACTGGAAAAGATGGCTTGGCTGTAAATGTCAATATCGCCATGTAGTTGATTGGTGTGGTTGTAGTCCAAATGTTTTTCGATATGATGACTGGAATCGTATAAAGGTAATATAATTTAGAATTATATTAGAGTAAAATTATTAAAATTAATTTTATCAAAAATAATACTTATGACATTATTTTAAATATTTCTCTATAGAACACTGAAAAGAAACAAGTATATTTTGCTCGTAAATTTGAACCTATTATAAACTTATCTATTATAGATACATTAGAAGTTTGGTTGTATGGAGAATACCCTGCAGGTAATGTAAATACTTTTTAAAATATTTAAACAGTGCCTTTATTAACATAATTTCAAATATTACTTATTGGTACTTATTTGTTATCACCTCGCTATAAATAAAGTAAAAAATATAATAAATAAATAAATAATAATATATATAATCAATAGTATAAGAAATGCTTAAGTAAGTATATAGGTATAATGTGTATATTTTATCATAATTATAATGGATATAGGAGGACAGAATTCAGATGTATCTTTTAAGATGGTTTCAAATGCGTTTTGTTCTTTGAGACATGTTCTTCCTATAAACTTCTGCCAAATACCATTTCAGAAAATTTATTTTAGTTTATCGACGCTTTTTATTTTCCCACTTAGCAGAACCCCACAACCTCTCGATGTTTTGAGTGTGTGCCCTTGTGTCTAGATCAATAAAAATATAGATATGGTAGATATGGTTAATCGTACCATGTTAAAATTCTGCTTGTTGCATATTATTGTAAACTTTGCAAAAATCTGACAAAATTATTGAGCTTGGTCTTATATATTTTTTATTATAGATAATTACTCCAATCGACCACAACATTTTTTCTCATTTTTAGTAAAATTTGATGATTGTAGGAACAATAGCGATACACTTTATGGTGGGGTGATAACAAACAAGTACCTATTTTTTAATCAATATTAGCAAATTTGAGTGTACAAAAATTAACATAACTCAATAAATTTAAATTAAATATTTGAATTTTATTTTAGATTTTAAAAACCGTATGAGCTATTGGCAAAATGTATATCATTATAATGATGTATATCCAGCACCTGATGAATCGCTACTCATTGTTGGAAACAGTCTTGCTCGAGTTGCAACAAAACATCTAACTACTTCACATACAACTTGTCAAATCCGTAGTCTTGATAAGTTACTACAAGTTTTTACTTATCACCACAAAGATAAATTTAAAGTAATTTTGATTTAATAATAATTGATAATAATATAAAATAAGTTTTTAAATAAAATATCATTTCATTAGGGGTTTTTAATTCAATATGAAGTTAGTTTCTCAAATACTTCTAACAAATTACTGTTTGAAAGTTGGTGTTGGCCAAAGCTACAAGGAATAATTATACATAATAGAGATCCAGTCAATAGATTATTGGTAATTAAAAAATGTAATAATTATTATGAAAATATATTGTTAAGCTTAATTTATTACAGAATTTTATCGTCAGTTCAGATTATGACAAAAAAGAACAAATGTCTAGGAATTTTATACGTCTCATAAGTCCTTATACAGAACCAGTTTTGATACACCAATGGACTGCTGGTGAACATAGTTTTACAGTTAAATTTTTGTGGTTAAATCCATATGACGAACTCATTAATGTCACATCTACAAATATTGAGGAATCAGCTTTGGTTGGTAATTTTTAAAATTGTTTTAAACAGTTAACTAATTTATTTAAAATTATAATAACTTAGATAACATTTGATAAACCAACTTTACCAATGCCATTGTCTCAAGGAATATGGACCGTATTGCTAGTTTATGAAAATGTAACTATGGCATATACTCAATTTTTAGTTACTCCGTCAAATACTATTAGAGATACATCTATTTCTGCTAGTCAAATGAAGTAAATTATAACGGTTAATTTTTAACTATTTAATTTTAAATTAAATATTTTTATTTTAGCTTTATAAATAAAGCCCAAAATTACAAACAATCTTTTGAAGATTGGACAAATGTGATAAAAGTTTTCAAAAATTCAATAGTATTGGAAACAAAAAATAAATTTATCGATCGTACCAAAACTAAAATGACCAGTTGGATTGATAGTCTAATTGCAAGGTATGTAGTAATGAGTATAAAGTTAAAATTTGATATAATAATATTTTATGTTTTTTACTGGATTAATTACATTTTTATAACATAAAATTAAAATAGCTATACTTACATTCATTATGTATTATTTGTGATTGTTGTTTAATTGATCTTTTTGTTTTTTAGTGCTTATAATATATTGGAAACCTGCATTGTGGTTCCTTGTAAATCTTTAAATGATTGTGGTGTAAAAGAGTTAGTCACTTGTGCTGAAACATCATGGAGTTCCTATTCACCTGATCCAAAATCTGATATTAAATCAATTAACAAAGAATCTGGAACTCTTAACAGGTACATTTTATTGTTGAAGTCTTTATTTTAAAATGAAAAAATAGTAAAA